AAGAAAAAAAGCATACAAGTACAAAAAGCACAGAGAGCCCCAAGTAAGAATAACCCAAACAGGCCCACCCCAAGACACATAATAATTAAAATACCAAAAATTAAAGACAAAGAGAGAACCCTAAAGGCAGCAAGAGATAAGCAACAGGCTACCTACAAAGGAACCCCCATAAGGCTATCAGCTGACTTCTCAACAGAAACACTACAGGCCAGAAGGGAATGGCATGAAGTAATCAAAGTAATGAAAACAAAGGAACTGAATCCAATACTACTCTATCCAGCAAGGCTATTATTCAAAATAGAAGGTGAAATAGTTTCCCAGACAAAGAAAAAAGCTGAGCAAATACATTAGCACCAAACCAGCACTGCAAGATATATTAAAAGGACTGCTATAATTAGTAGAAGAAATAGGAAGAAAAATATAACCACACTAAACAAAAATGGCAATAAAGAGTACATATCAATAATCACCTTAAATGTAAATAGATTGAATGCTCTGATCAAAATACAGAGTAGCTGATTGGATAAGAAAGCATGCTCATATATATGTTGTTTACAAGAGACTCACCTCACAACAAGAGACTCACATAAATTGAAAGTGAAGGGATGGAAAAAATTTCTCAAGCACACAGAAAGGAAAAAAGAGCTGGGGTAGCAATACTCATGTTTGACAAAATAGACTTCAAAATGAAGTCTATAACTAGAGGCAAAGAAGGCCACTACATAATATTGAAAGGATCTATCCAACAGGAAGATATAACCTTGATAAACATATATGCACCCAACATAGGAGCACCAAAATATATTTTAAAATTTCTGGAGGACTTCAGAGGAGAAATCAACAACAATACAACAATAGCAGGGGACTTCAACACCCCACTGACATCACTGGATAATCCTCTAGACAATAAATTAACAAGGATACAGAGACTCAAAATGATACACTAGACCAAATGGATTTAATAGATATCTACAGAGAATTACACTCTCAAATTACAGAATTCACATTCTTCTCAAGTGCACATGGGTCATTCTCAAAGATAGGCCACATGTTTGGAAACAAACTAAGTCTCTACAAGATTGAAATCATATCAGGCATCTTCTCAGATCACAATGGCATGAAACTAAAAATCAATTACAGCAGAAACATTTAAACACATGGTGGCTAAATAGCATGTTATTAAACAATGAATGGGCTACCAAGAAGATCAAGGAAAAAATTAAAAATTTCCTGGAAACCAGTGAAAATAAACACACAACAACACAAATTCTGTGGGACCCAGCGAAAGCAGTCTTGAGAGGGAAGTTCATAGCACTACAGGTCTACCTCAGGAAACAAGAAAAATTTCTAATTCACTATCTAACCTCACAACTTAAAGAACTAGAAAGCAAGCAAACAAACAAACAAAAAACCCAGAGCAAGTAGAAGGAAAGAAATAGTAAAGATCGGAGCAAAGATAAACAACATAGAGACCAAAATAAGAATTCACAAGATCACTGAAACAAAGAGCTGGTTCTTTGAAAAGATAAACAAGATTTATGGACTCTTACCTAGACTCACCAATCAGAAGTGAAAAAGGAGAAGTAACAACTTACTCCACAGAAATACAAAAGATTGTTAACAAATACTATGAATAATTATATGCCAACAAATTGGACAATGTAGGCAAAATGGACAAATTTCTAGAAACACACAGTCTTCCAAAACTGAACCGGGAAGAGAGAAAACTTGAACAGACCAATAACAACTAAGGAAAATGAAGATGTAATCAAGAAACTCCCAGCTGCCCTGGCTGATTTGGCTCAGCAGTTGGAGCATCGGCCTGTGGACCAGAGAGTCCTGGGTTCAGTTCCTGCTAGGGGCACGTACCAAAAGGGAAAAAAGACAAAAGAAAAAGAAAGTCTCAGCAAACAAAAGTCCAGGCAGCTTCGCAGGGGAGTTTTACTGAACATTCAAAGAAGAACTAACATCTGTTCTCCTCAAACTATTCCAAAAAATTCAAGAAGGAGGAAGACATCCAAACTCATTTTATAAAGTCAGCATAATTCTAATTTCAAAACTAGAAAAAGACACTACAGGCCAATATTCCTGATGAACATAGAAGCCAAAATCCTTAACAAAATAGCAAATAAGATCCAGCAATACATTAAAAAAATTATTCATTATGACCAAGTGGAATTCATCCCAGGGATACAAGGCTGGTACAATATTCATAAATCAATAAATGTGATACACCACATAAACAAAATGAAAGATAAAAACCATGTGATCTTATCAATAGATGCTGAAAAAGCACCCAACCAAATCCAGCACCCATTTCTGATAAAAAAGCTCAGCAATGTGGGAATAGAGGAATTATTTCTCAACATAATAAAGACCATATATGAAAGACCTACAGCCAACATTATATTCAATAGGCAAAAACTAAAAGCATTTCCCTTAAGAACAGGAACAAGACAGGGTTGCCCATTTTCATCACTCTTATTTAACATAGTACTAGAAGTCTTAGCCACATCAATTAGTCAAGAGGAAAAATAAAAGAGATCCAAATTGGAAAGGAGAAATTGAAACTGACACTATTTGCAGATGACATGATATTGTACACAGAAAACCCTAAAGACACCATCAAAAATCTACTAGATTTAATACACGAAATTGGCAAGGTAGCAGCATACAAAATTAACATCAAGAAATCAACAACATTCTTTTTTTTTTTTTATCTTCACCAAGGATATTTTTGCATTTATTTTCAGATAGAGTGGAAAGGGGTGGGGGGGAGAAACAACAATGTGAAAGAGACACATTGTGTGGTTGGCACCCACACGACCCCAACCAGGGCGGGGACAAACTGCAACCAAGGTATGTGCCCTTGGCGGGAACCAAACCTGGTACTCTCTGTTTCGGGCCGACACTTTAACCCAGTGGTTCTCAACCTTCCTAATGCCACGACCTTTCAATACAGTTCCTCATGTTTTGGTGACCCCCCAACCATAAAATTATTTTGTTGCTACTTCATAACTGTAATTTTGCTACTGTTATGTCTCAGGTGACCCCTGTGAAAGGGTCATTCCCCAAAGGGGTAGCAATCCACAGGTTGAGAACAGCTGCAGCCGCTGAGCCAAACCAGCCAGAGCATGACAGCATTCTTATATACCAATAATGAACAAATAGAAAGAGAAACTAAGAAAAAATTCCATTTACTATTATGGTAAAAAAATTAAGATACCTAGGAATAAACTTAAAGACGTAAAGGACCAATTTTCAGAAAACTATAGGACATTGAGAAAAGAAATAGAGGGAGATATAAAAAAGTGCAAGCATATACCTTGTTCATGGAATGGAAGAATTAACATAATTAAAATGTCCGTACTACCCAACACAATCTATAGATTCAATGCAATCTCCATCAAAATACCAATGACATATTTCACAGAACTGGAACAAATACTACAAAAGTTCATATGGAACCAAAAAAGACCCTAAATAGCCACAGCAATCTTGGAAAAGAAGAACAAAACAGAAGGGATTACAACACTGGATATCAGGTTATATTACAAAGCCATTGTAATCAAAACAGCCTGGTACCGGCACAAGAACAGGCACATAGATCAATGGAACAGAACAGAGAATCCGAAAATACACCCAAGACATTATGCTCAATTAATATTTGACAAAGGTGGCAAGAGCATACAATGGAGTAAACACAGTCACTTTAATAAATGGTGTTGGCAAAATTAAACAGCTACATGCAAAAAAATGAAACTAGACCACCAACCTACACCATATACAAAAATAAACTCAAAATGTGACTTGTGAATCCATAAAAATTCTAGAAAAATAAATGTAGGCAACAAAATTTTAGACAGCACAATAGAATTTTCACTGATACACCTAAGGCAAGAGAAACAAAGAAAAAAATGAACACATGGGACTATATCAAACTAAAAAGCTTCTACTCAGTGAAAGAAATAACCATCAAAATGGAAAGGCAACCCACTGTATGGGAGAGTATAATTGCCAATGATACATCAGATAAGTGGTTAATTTCTAAAATATATAGAGTGTTCATTCAACTCAATAAAAGGAAGACAAAGAACCCAATTAAAAAATGGGCAGAGGAGCTAAATAGACACCTCTCCAAAGAGGACATACAAATGGCCAAGAGACATATGAAAAAATGCTCAACCTCACTAATTATTACAGAGATGCAAATTAAAACGACTGTGAGGTATCACCTCACACCTGCCAGAATGGTGGCCATCAACAAATCATCAAACAACAAGTGCTAGCTAGGGTGTGGAGAAAAGGGGACTCTAGTACACTGCTGGTGGGAATGCAGACTGATGCAGCCACTATGGAAAACAATGTGGTGTTTCCTCAAAAAATTAAAAATTGGACTGCCATTTGACCCAGTGATCCCACTTCTAGGAATATATCCTAAGAAGCCTGAAACACCAATCAGAAAGAATATATGTACCCCTATGTTCATAGCAGCACTATTTACAACTGCTAGGATCTGGAAACAGCCCAAGTGTCCATCAGTAGATGAGAGGATAAAGAATCTGTGGTACATATACACAATGGAACACTATGCAGTTGTAAGAAAGAAAGATCTCTCATCCTTTGAGATGACATGGAGGGACCTGGAGAGGATTATGCTAAGAGTAATAAGCCATTCAGAGAAAGACAAATACCACATGATCTCACTTATTTGTGGAATATAATGAACAAAAAAAGCTGATGAACTAAACAGACCCAGAGTCATAGAAAAGAATACCATTCAGACCGACAAACCACCAGGGTGGGGGATGGAAGAGGTGAACCAAAGACATGCATGTGTGGAACCAATGGACATAGATAACAATGCTTGGTGGGGGGGTGGGATAGGAAGGAGGATGTCTGGTGGGGGGGGGGGAGAAACATCTGTAACAAAAATAAATTAATTTTAAAAAATGAAAAAGAAAAAAAATGAGTATGAGGGACAGAAAAAATATACTAACCACAATCAACCTCATCCGTGTGATCACCACAATCATCCACCAGGTCACATAACTGAAGCTTTTCTATGCAAGCCTTCGTATGTCCACACCAGAAATGATCTGGCCCTTCACAGCTCTCCGCGGGGAGTGGAAGAGTACAGTTTTCAAAAGTGATGTCATCAATAGCGGACACCCCATCATAAATGCCAAGACTGACTTTTTCTAGTGACAAATGGAAGGGACGAGTGAGGCGCCCGAGCTGAACGGTTGCCTGTGACCACTGGTTGCCCTGGTTATACAGTACTCTCCAGAGTACCGTGGAATCACTGGAGTTTTCCACATGTAGCTGGAGCACGGCTGCTCCCACTGACTGGCCATAGTTATAAAACCTGAAAAAGAGTAAACAAAAGAAATGGAAATGATTTATGGGATTGACTACATATTTCACTGTTACATTCTTTCACTCAGTCAACAATTAATAATTAGTTATCATAATGGACGCCTTTATTTCTTACGGTAATTGTGACTTCGTACTTGCAAAGCTTATCATCTAAGGTGCATACTCTGACTCTAGGACCCTAGGAGCATTTCTCAAGGAGTTCCGTCCAGAACGGAGGAAGCAGTGTTAATTAAATTATAATCTATTCCTGAAAGAAACAGTCTCTTCCATCTTAAGAAAGAGCACAATGAGCCCTGGCCGGTTTGGCTCAGCGGTTAGAGCGTCGGCCTGTGGTCCTGAGAGACCCAGGTTCAGTTCCTGCTAAGGGCATGTACCTTGGTTGCAGTTTGTCCCCGGCCCTGGTCGGTTGTGCGGGTGGCAGCCACTCGATGTGTTCCTTTCACATCGATGTTTCTCTCTCTCTCTCTCTGTTCCTCTCTCTCCCTCCCACTCTGCCTGAACAAAAAATGGAAAAATGTCCTTGGGTGAGGATAAAAAAAAAAGAACGAACACAATGAGCACTGATAATGAGCTCTCAAGTTAAATGCCAATTGTGAGGATCTAATGCAATAGGTATTTTTAAGACAAAACCAGGCGCAAACCATAATGTCTACTAAATGCAGGAGAATGCCTGCAACTACTGGGCCGCTAGGGTCATCGACCATTGTTTTTAATATTTACCAGAAAGAAAGCATGCATCCTGTTCCTGTCTCGCTGATAGTTGGGCTCTGGAGTTTAGCAACTTGTGCCAAGCTGCTGCTTTTCTTCAGAACGAACATAAAATGCCCTATTGGTATACAAAAACAAGTCATAAGTTAACCTATTTGATTATAAAGTGTCTCTTAACCCTACACTAAATAAGTTCCACGTGCAATACAACAAAAGTAAAAATCAATAAAAGTGATTGCTAGTCAAATGTGCTTAGAAATATTAAACTTTGATCAACATCAAAGTTTAAATGGTGCCCCAAACAACTGGTAATTTCATTTAATTCAGCCAAAAATATATGTATACTCTACCCCCACCAACCATAAAGGAATAATTCCACGCAGAAAACATAAATGTAACTGATAACGCTCAACTGCCCTACTCTCTGCTGTAGTGACATTAGAATGTTACCTGCTTCTCTTTCTCTTCTCAGACCTGACCAACAGTAGACTGAAGTAATTACCAAGAGCCTCTGCTTGTTTCTTACCTTGAGCAGTGTTGTGAGTATGATCACGGGGTGGGGCCTGTTGCTCAAAATCAGCAGAAAGGTCACTTCTAGAGCTCCATATCCAGTCGAAATGGTCACCAGTAACTGCTTCAAACCAACCACAGCTGTTTGCTTCGAAGTCACATTCGGAAACTGGAGAACAAAAATGTGGCTCTTAGGTTGGCTCTCCAAAGGGTTTGCACACTTTACAAAGGGTAAGAGGTCAACGGAAATCACCTTGTTAGACTTCTCGAAGTACATCAAAGAGCACATGAGGGAAAAAAGAATCTCTTCTGATCTGAAAAAACCTGGAGTTATGCTTATCATACTGGAAATTGATAAGACAGATTATCAATTTTAAAATTTTAATTTTTTTCCAAATATTCTAAGAATAGCATCATTCAGCCATATTGTTTATAGAATTGTCAAAGTCGATCTAATTTATCTGATACATGTGTTAGTTTATCTGCTGCTATTATATTATCTGGAAGGATGAATTATTCCTATAGAATATTTTACACTAAACCGTGGAAGCAGCTGCTTCTAAGAAAATTTAGTACATTTAATTAATGTTTATCTCTGTTTTTTTATAGAACTTAATATTTTCTAAAGTATTCCATGCTTAATTTGTGCAGGGCAGAATAATTTGACCCAGTTTTCAGATAAATATGCACACACACAAAAATCAGTTAACTTCCAGGAAGAAGAGGGAGAAGAAAAAAGGAAAGAAAGGGAAGTTATAATAATAGCAGTATAATATTACAGCTAATGTTCAGTGAATACTCTATGTAATAAACCTCGTACTATTAGACTGCTTTTTCTAGATCTTTCACCTTAGCTTTATGGGGAAGTTATTATTGTTGTTGTTGTTGTTGTTTCCAGAGGAAAAAAGGGAGGTTTAGGGAAGTCACTAACTTAACCAAAGTCATATAGTTAGGAAATTATAGATGAAATTGGAATCCAAATATTCTGACTTCTAGTTTAATATTCTTCTGCAACTGTTGACAATAACTGTTAAACATTAGATTGAAAATATTTATTATTATATTTATTAGATTGAAAAAAAACTGCCCAGATGGTATAGATCAGTGGTTGAGTGTCGACCCATGCCCCAAGAGGTCGCTGGTTCGATTCCCGGTCAGGGCACATGCCCAAGTTGCAGCCAAACCCCACTAGGGGGCATGCAGGAGGCAGCCAATGGATGTTCTCTCTCATCGATGATTCCATATTTCTCTCCCTCTCCCTTCCTCTCTCTCTAAAATCATAAAAAAAAAAGATAAATTAAAAAGGCATAGTCTAAATTTGTTCAGTGTAAATATTCTGCTATTACTATAATATATCCTAATGTTAAAAATGAGGCTTGCTCCCACTTATGATTATTACATTGGAATTTTTGTTCAATAGCTATTTTTATCCAAGGATTTAGTAATAAACAACACAGATGTTCCCTTGTAAAAGAACTTAGGAAGTAAGCAGTAAGTTTAGGGGATAAAAGTATATAGTAAATCACTCAATGAGATTATAAAATTTAAAATTATAAAGGCACTTCACTTAATTATAAATAATTTTTAATTTTGAAAATGTTACTTCTACTCTACTCAAGGAGGAATATGAGATGAACAGTAATACTACAAATACTTTCTAATTTTAATAGTTCCTATATAATATCTGATTTCCAACATATATTTGTTTTCTGTCAAGCTTCCTAGCTGGAAATATGTCCAGCAGAGTACTTTCAAGTTTCATGAAAAGTCAGTGGGAGGGGCCACTTTGTAAATCACGTGATTAACCACTATGGTGTACACCTTTAACTAACACAAAGTAATATGGAATATAAACTAATTGAAAAAGAAAGTCAATGGGAATGTATGAATACATTTAAAAATAAATACTTTAAAAATATCGCATCAACTTTAATAAGCAAGGACGAGGATATTTCAGTACACATATAGAGACAATTAGAAATCAGAAAAATGAAAGTACTGCTATATTTAGAATACACACTTCTCAAGTACAGCTTAGAAATCTATGTTTATGTAAAATTAAATGCCACTTGAAGTCAAAAGTAATGATAAATATATTTAAGAATAAATGCTAGCCCTGGCCGGTTTGGCTCAGCGGTTAGAGCGTCGGCCTGCGGTCCGGAGAGACCCGGGTTCGGTTCCCGCTAAGGGCACGTACTTCGGTTGCAGTTTGTCCCCGGCCCTGGTTGGTCGTGCGGGTGGCAGCCGCTCGATGTGTCCCTTCACATCGATGTTTCTCTCTCTCTCTCCCTTCCTCTCTCTCCCTCCCACTCTATCTGTACAAGAAATGGAAAAATATCCTCGGGTGAGGATAAAAAAAATAAAAATAAATAAAATAAAAAAAAGAATAAATGCTAATATTTAAGAACATTTTAAAGGCCATCTCTATTTGTAAATACATAATATACCAATAACCCATAGATGTAAATAAATTCCAGAGGTTCAAAGTATGTAATGCTATTTTAATCCCTGAGGAAGCAAATTTTTTGTTTCCTATTAAAAATATAGACAGAAAACAAAATATTGCTATTGTATAATATCTACTCCCATAGCTACTTGGAAAGAGGACCTTATCACCTGCTATCCAGGAAGAATCTGCTGTAGAAATAAATGAATATTCAAATGATAATAAAATTTGAAACTACAGCAGCAATTTTATAGTTCTCTTACATAAAATTCTTCAAAAGAAGTAATTTTAATACATGATCATTGTATTAAATTTCAAATTTGTTCTTCTATATTTAGATTTCTTTTTTAAATTAATTAACGTATTTATTTATTTGTTTTTGTTACAGATGTTTCTCATTTTTCCCCCATTGATACTCTCCTCCCCTTCCCCCCCACCTCATCCCCAGCTTTGTTGTCTATGTTCATTGGTCATGCGTATATGCATGTAAGTTCTGTGGTTTATCTCTGTACCCCCTCAACCCCCCTCCTTGGAGGCTTGTCAGTCTGTACCCCACCTCTATATCTATAGGTTAATTTTGTTCGTTTGTTTAGCTCATTATATTCCACAAATAAGTGAGATCATGTGATATCTGTTTTTCTCTGCTTGGTTCTATATTTAGATTTCTATAGAAATTTAAAAATTCACCTCAAGTGATCACATACATAGTGATCAGATGAAATTAACCTCTGGCTAGCCATTAATCAAACAGACCTCATTAGAATGGCTTTTGAAAATTATATATCTTTTTCTGACAGAAATATATTCTGGGTATGTTTTCATAATTGAAATTCAAGTATTTTTCACTGTTTCGGAAGCATCGTTATTGTCTATCTCAATTATTCTCATCATCAGAATCATCATATGCAATAATAATTGCAGTTACCATTTACTCAGGGATTATTGTGTACCAAGCTTTGGGCTAGGGCTGTTCCATTCATAACAGGATGCTAACACAGAATTTCTAAAAATCATACATGTCTACTTTATAGCTATGGTTAGAAAAGCAAGTAACTCTACAGCAGCTTTTAATTATTTTATGTAAAGATACCCTTGAAACATCAATTAGTTATGTAAATATAATTATAGTAGTTACCCATGAGGAGAAGATGTTAGGGAATATTTGGTAGATGACAAATAGGTCTGTCATCCTACATGATCATTGTCATTTTTAGAGCTTTTTCACTCAGTCAAAAGAAGATTAATGCATGTAGGAGACAAGGAACCTTGAGAGGTAAAAAGAATCCTGAATCAGACCCTGTCTCATTTCATATTCACTATTTTAGAACATCTCTGATGGTTCCAGATGATCCCTACAGAGGTTCATTTGTAAGGAATAAACACAAAATGGACAAAGGGGAAGTCTAGACTGATCATTTGGATCTTGCCAAAAAAACTTAAAAATTACAGAAGGATGCTTTTTAAAATTTACACAAAGGAAATGAAAAATTATGTCCACACAAAAATGCTGTGCATGAATGTGCAGCTTTATTCATAATTGCCAAAACTTGGAAACAATCAAGATGTCGTTCAGTAGATGAATGGAAAAATGGTGGCACATCCATACTTAGGAATATTATTCAGTGCTATAAAGAAATAGGTTATCAAACCATAAAAAGACATTTAATCTTAAATAATCATAGAATTATTCAATACACACAAAAAGATTATATTCTCAATAGAATGTTCAACTAAAAAAAGAATTCTTTATTTTCTTCTACTATCTTATTTATTATTTTATTTCTACTCTCCGTAATTTCTCCAATCCAACAATATAATTGTCTGTGGCAAAGACTGATCAAAATATCAAGGGCTATTTACCAGATTTTACTTGTCTACAAAAATAGCTTTCTCTTTTTTCCCTCAGTGATCAATGGCTCCATAAATGAGAATGAATGAACTTTTTTCTCCACTTCTTGGTTTTATGTCACAGAAATGATGAGCCTTCACCCAGAACAACTTCCCATTCCAATATTTTACAATTACCTCTGTCTAGGGAAGGATTTTTTTTGTGTTTTGTTGTTGTTGTTGTTGTTGTTGTTTTTACTGAAAAACAATGTCTAGATTGCTAGACTGTAATTTGAGGGTAATATAAAGAAGAAAATGAGAATCCAGTTTACTGAAAAAAATAGTCTTTTTACCACACAAACTTATATTTTTACCGGTGTGTATTTAATAAAAATGTAATATGTTCAATAATTAGCAAATATAGGTTTGTTTTGAGACACATTTTCCCATATAGTCAAACCTATAGAAAAGAACATAAGACATAAAACAGAAACCAGCAGCTGATTTTCACTTCTTTATTAAAATAAAAAGTAATTTGTGTTAATTCAAAGAGATGCATTAAGAAGCCTTTAATTTTATAATTAAGTTTAACTATCCAATCTCACCTAAAAATACCTTCTCAAATACATTTTTTTTCCCAGAAAATATGTGGAAAAAACAACACAGTCCTAATTAGAAAACACACACACACACACACTGGTTTATAGCTATTAGGCTAAGGAAGAAATTATCCACCAGGATGCATCCAAAAAAATAAAAAGGGTACCTTGGAACCAAAAAGATGCTCCTTCTCTGCTATGCTTTGTGGTATCCATCCTGTGCTCTCTACTTACAAAGCCTAACATTGTATGAGCTGGTCAAAAAAGACATGTTTACACAGTCCAACTCAGCACCTC